AGATCAAATAATTGTTACAAGTTCCATGTAAAAGTTTTTGTTTTCATACTGTAAAGCAATAAAATAATTAATTTACATTAAATTAGAGTGCAGTTATACTTGTACTTTGCTTCAAGTAGCTCAAGTAATTCTTACAAGTAGCCAAGTAAAGCTACAAGTATTTTTGTTCATATTGTAAAGTAGCAAAATACAATTGTTAACTACTATAGTCAAGTAGTGTAAATCAAGTATAGCAAGTAATTATTACAAGTAGCCAAGTAAATCTACAGGTATTCTTTTCATATTGTTGAGCAGCAAAATACAATTGTTAACTACTATGGGTCTATATCGCAAGCCAAACAACCGAAAGACCGTCTATTGAAATCCCGACGTTCGAAATACCGGCTGTATTAAAATCCCGACGCTTGAAATCCCGAATATATCAAAATCCCGACAATCAAAATCCCGACTATATCGAAATGCCGACTACCATAATCCCGACAATCAAAATCCCGACTACCATAAAAATGTTATTGTAGAAACTTATAATAATAAAAGGCACTGTCGGGATTTTGAGCCAGCCGGGATTTCGATAGACGGGATTTCGGTTGTCGAGCTTGCGATTGCCACCGAACTACTATAGTCAAGTAGTGTAAATCAAGTATAGCAAGTAATTATTACAAGTAGTCAAGTAAAGGTTGTTGTTTTTATTTTTAAAATTGTAAAGCAGAAAAATGAAATTATTAACTTATAAGGTTTCAGCAAATTGATGGAGGTAATATGTATACTTGTGTTTCTTGGGTAGAGATAGCCTTAGATCAAGAAAATAGTATATACTTATAGGATTGAAAATGTGTGCGTTCATGAATGTATGTATATGTATATAGATGTGCAAGTATAAAGTTGTATTTAATCATATTTATCGAAATCCCATCAATACGTCAGCCGTTTGTCACGTGTGTTGTGGAAGAACAACAACAAAAACAACAACATTGAAAAGCAACGGAACAAGTCTCGAGTTTCGATCTAGGCAACAACGGACGGGACCGGCAAAGTCCGAGTCATGTAGCAGACAATAATTGATATCATAAATACAACGGCCGGTACTGTTTAGTGTGGTATTTAAAAGATTCGACGTGTACACAAGATGGCAGTCTCGTGGGCACGTGGGTTCTCCCGTAAACTAATTTGTGATCGCAGCGGGACTATACAAACACACGAAAAAACTAAACGACTGAATGACTTTACACATTCCTGGACTAACGGCCATTACTCATTTTCCCCCCGATACATTATCACCATGACAATGTGTGCTTATGCCACTAAATTACATCAAATATTACATGCTAATCTCGACATCGTATAATAAAACACACACACATCATTATTCAAACAATCTTAATCTCAATTCTACTCTTCTATTTTATCGTCCTTTCTTTCCATTCTTTCCATATTATTTCTGCACGTTCTTTTTCAAATTATCATAAAATCTTATATAAAATCGTATACACAACGCACTGGTGTACAATACGCATATTAATAAAGATTCGTATATAATACGCACCCATAATTTTTCAATTAAAATTGCATGATTTACCTAAACTTTAAAGTTAATAAATGTTTTGTTTACATTTTAACTCAAGTATAATATACTTTTATCTGCGTATTATACTCGAGATTTTAATTATTTTAATTCCATTAAACGCTACGCATAAATCACCATAGGATTTACACAAAATCGGGTAGAATTGTAAAGTTGTACATGTCTATTCGATCCATCACGGAGCTTAAAGTTTTTCGAAACAGAATGCAAAATTCGGTAATTGCGCGATCCACGTTTTAATTGTCCGCTAATCTATTCCGATACAAATAATAATAATTCCGCTGAATGTTACAGTCAAAAACGCTGACGGTTTACATACGCGGCAATTACACATTTCCATTATATTCAAAACTCTATTAATGGATAAAGCTTATTTCAATTCATTGAATAAAACATAACACTGTCATTTATATTTATACACACACACAAATATACATAAAAAATATATAACAGCAGCTCTCAAATTGCGAAAAACACATTGATATTGAATTATACGCGTTTCACTACATTTATAATCAATGTACCCAATTGAGAATAATTTAAAACTAAAATTTCCAAAAAAAGCTTATATTAACTATAACGTTGAAAGATTTATATAACTAACAAAGTTTTTCTAATTTTGATATTTATATGTTAATCTCTAATATATGAGTAATTGACTGTTAAGGCCGTATATTATTATATACATGTTAAACATGAACATGTTAAAAGATTATGACAGACAATTTTTTAAAATTTTCATTTACAAACTTTCTCATTTACTTAATCATAATACAAGTCATTCAATCTCCAACTCAAATTTATTAATTGCCGAGACAACAAGTAAATATTATTCAAATTTATTAGTTGTTTTCTTTTCAGAATTTCATTAATTCATTACTAAATCAAGTAAATTGAAAATATTATAAATCTTCATAATTTAGAGTTAAAAAGAGAAGTATTAAGAATTATGAAAAAAAAGCTTATGTTGATGATTGTTGTTTTAGGAGTCACAGATTTGTATCGTCTTTCGGCTAAACTGAATTTGTATTTGTATTTGTAAAAACTAACCTTCTCACTGGATTTCTTCTTGGCTTTGTTCTGTCCCTGCTTGGGACTACACTCGTCCTCCACAGAGGCCAGCCTGTTGAACTTCTGCGTACGCTCCTTGACGCTGATGGTTTTATCCACGCCTTCCATAACATCGTTCTCCTTATCCTGAACAGTCTCCATTTCGCAAATACTGAATCTGCTCTTATCAGTGGACCTCTTCCTCGGTGGCGCTTGAGGAGTAGTCGGTTCTGTCAACGAGAGGTTCGAGCACAAGGAGATGTTATCATACGAAGGACTCGGGGATGAAACAGGTGGAGGAGGTCTGTACGGCGGTGGAGCTCGACCAGGAGAACTAGTCGGAGTAGTAGTAGTAACAACTACATTCCTCGAATCATATTTACTAGGACTGAGGACCTCCTGCGAGAGGTACTTCGGTCTTAGACTCAAGACTTTTTGGTCTCCGTTCACCTTGGAGACGGCCAATATGTTCACGAACTTCTTGAACTTGAGCCTCGCATCATCTGTAAGTTAATAAAAGAATAACAATAAATCATCGTTCGCAATTATCCAGATAATCGAGCAAGAAATTAACCAGCCACGAAAAGGATCTGGTGGAAATGAGAGATGGAAAGGAGAGATTTAATTGCGAATTTGCTTATGGAAGGGAAAATTAATTGCCGCCACAGGAAAGCAGATACGCGAAATGCAGGAAAACTGAAATTAACCTCCCGACAAATCTCGTTTCTTTTTCTTATTGTTGTATGTTAATATCGCATTCATTGTAAATTGAAGAATACGTCGGACCGTTTACAGAGTCCAATTACCGTTTTACTCTCTTTCTTTTGCATCCAATTAGCGCAGGGCGAGGCATAAACTAAATTACATCTATTTACCGTGATTAAATTATAAACGGATTTGTCAAGTCATCTGGAGATTATCGAAGGATACGAATCGTGGAATGATTATTTAAAAACAGAACAACAACAATACTTAATTGAAAATTTAATTTGAAAAACACCAGGATTTGATTTGTGCTTTTATCTTTATCATCATCGATTTACATTATTAAATCAATCAAGTTTCAATTAACAATTACTACTTGTTAAACTATATATAAAAATATAACTTTAAATATGAATAAAATTAAACTAAACAGTGTAATTCAAATGGTTTTATAAGAAATCGATTCTTACAAATCTCCACTTTACGAAAAGCTAATTTTTCAAATTGAATTTAACAATCAATTTCTAATTGAAATTCATTAAATTATATATGAAAGTTACCTTTAACTATGAATAAATTTAAACAAAACAGTGTAATTTATATAGTTTTATAGGAAATTAATTCTTACTTTACAAATTTCCACTTTACGAAAGAAAAAATAGAACTAATTCGTTTAACAAATCCTAAATTAATTTTAAATTTGTATTTTCATACTTTACTATAAACACTTCAATATCTTATATAATTAAGTTTTGTCATAGTCATAGTTAGTTCAAACATTGTTAAAACTTTTAATATAAAATATTCATTGTTAATGGTACAAAATATATCATATTTAAAAGTTTTCTAATACAGTGGAACTTCGCTTAACGAGCAAAATGAGTTGTAAGAAAAATAACTCGTTTAACGAGCGACGTTTTGCATAACGAGTGACGATGAGAAAAGAAGTTCCGAATTACGCGCCTTCTACATCATTTTTAACGGTAGCAATCGCAAGCCCGACAAACGAAAGACCGTCTAATGAAATCCCGACTGTATCAACATCCCGACTATGTCAAAATCCCGACTACCACAATCCCGACAATCAAAATCCCGACTATATCGAAATTTCTACAATAACATCTTAGTGTTGTTTGTGATCACAAAATTTCCAAACTTGTATTCAGACATGTTATTTGTTTTTTTTGTGCAAAATCTAATAACACTTGCATGTGTTTGAATAAAAAGAACCATAGATATGAAAAGCAAAATGATGAAAAATCGAGTCCAAGTTAAACTTTTTTCTCTGGCATGGAAATGCGTTCCATCGTAATTTACATTAGTTTATATAGGAAAACGTGTTTCACTATACGAGTAAAAATCTGCAAATGACTTTACGAATTTCTACTTTACGAAAGAGAAATCATAACTAATTATTTTTTTTAGTTTAAATTAATTATTAAATACAAATTACATATTAAGTACATAGTTCTAAATACAAATTACTATATTATTTATATAAGCATTAATATTTCACTCTTTATATAGATAAGTTTGCAAATAGTTTAATTTCACTTTATTTCACTGATTAATAGAAAATATTCATTTTGGTTACGGAAAATACATTTACAAATTTCCTTCTACAGGAAATTAGTTCTCACTTTATGTATTTCCACTTTATGAAAGAACAACTAGAACCAACAACATTGATATTTCTGTTCAGTTAATTAAAATAGTGAAAAAGACATTTTTTTTCTCCTAATTTAGTATGGAAATGTTCAAAATATTTAAATAATTATTCAAGAAATCATTTTTCAATATATTTAAAACAATAAAAAAATAACTCCTATAAATATAGTAATATAATAAATAAATTGGAAATAAATATTAAATTTACTGACAATAAATATACACTTTATATAAAAAAACATCATAAATGTATAGGCATTTCGTGTTATATAACAAAATTTATAATGTAAAAAGTAACATTATTTATAGGTTTCTACAGGGAATTAGTTCTCACTTTACGTATTTCTACTTTATGAAAGAACAATAAGAACCAATAAAATTGATATTTCTGTTCAGTTAATTAAAATAGTGGAAAAAATAATTTTTTTCTTCTTAATTTAGAATGGAAATGTTCAAAATATTTAAATAATTATTCAAGAAATTATCATCATTTTTCAATATATTTAAAATAATAAAAAAATAACTCCTATAAATATTGCAATATAATAAATAAATTGGAAATAAATATTAAAATTACTGACAATAATGTATAGGCATTTCGTGTTACATAACAAAATTTATAATGTAAAAAGTAATATTATTTATAGGTTTTTAGTGACTTGAAAAATATCAATAAATTTTGCATATTTTCCATATTTTTACTTTTTTTTCGAATTTAAAAAAGAAGTTTAGATAACATGTGTTTGTTTAAACGAATGAATAATTTACTTCCATGGAAATACTGAAATGTATTTAATGAAAACATGTTCAAAATATTTGTGTTTAGTAAAGATAATTCAGTTATTTGTACTTGTTAAAAATACTAATTTTGATACTATTACAAAAAAAACTAATGTATGTAATACAAGTATTATTATTGTTATGCTGCATCCACACTATATGTGACATGAGATATAAATATCTGTCAGACGTACCAATTACTATTAGTTATCATGTAGTCAGGTGACAGTTAAAATGCAGCTGCAATTGCACATTGTATACATATTAGCTTGACAGACATTTATGTCTCGTGTCATGCATAGTGTGGATGCAGCATTATAAATATATATATATAAACAAAAAAAAACCTATATATTTTATACGATTTTAAATGTCAAATATTAGTCATGTATTCACAACCCACGGCGTGTTCCAGAATGATATATGATTACAACAATTACGTAACATAATTGATAATTCCGAAATCGCTGTTTTATCTAAATCAACAGCTTTTCTGTTTGTGAAATTAGCAAGTATAGATTAGGATTTGGACTTGTGCCATTCATTATCCTCGACTTACCACACGATTACTACGAATTCAACAAAAAGCTAATTGATGTATTGTTTCGTCGCCAAAAAAACAAATGTTTTATGAATTGCTCATTCACTGTTTTTCGAACTATTATCACGGTATGACTAAGTTTATCCACCTTTAGTAAACGAACAATAAGTGCAGTCGCCAAGTGATAAGATAATAGAAAAACATAAGGATTACATCTGATTATTCAAGTTAAATGGAGATTTATGAAGCGCTGCGGATACTCAAAAAAAAATCATAATGTAATACGAGAATCTCAGCTGTGGAAGGCCACACTGAGCCTTACGCAAGGTAAACGAACCGGCGGAGAAACGTCAAAACAACGACACGCCGAATCCTAACCTCAAAATGCACAGAACTCGAGTTATGGGTTTAATCAAGCGTGCAGCGTTAAACTGGCAGTTAAACTTAAGGTTTAGACTTAAGACAAAGGTTGCGAAACAGTTGATAAGATAGGGAATCGGGGTTGCAGCGAAGAAGATGATGATCAACAGGTAGTTGCGGATGTAAACAAAGGGGATTTGCGGATGATGGGCGAGGTTATCGATTCTTGTCTACCTACCTTTCGATGCTGGATCCGTCAGGTATTTCCGGAAGTGTCTCACGACATCTCGATTCTCCACGATCCCGCCGTTATTCACGAAATACTCGTGAATCTGTTCCAGTGACAGTTCACTCGTTGCCATGTTTGTTGTGTACTGTTGTTGGTTACTATAGCGGCGCGGCGCCATCCAGGTATAACGAAGTTGGCGCGCTAAATTTGAATGTGCGCATGTTTTGAATACCTGTATCAATGAAAATCGATGTCCCTTTCACACAATGTTTCACCCGAATTATGTGACCGTTATTATTTACTTAATTTCGTGGAAATGTTTTGGGAATTGTTGTTAAGTGGAGCGGTGAAAGTTCAGTGCGGGTCAACGAGCCCGACCAAATGATTATTTCATTTGTTTTTGTTAATTATTGAACAAAAAACAAATGAAAAACCTTTACGTAATTTACAAACAATCAATCAATCATTGATATGTGAATACAAATAATACATTGATTCACGTAATGAGAAAGTGGAGCGTAATTAAAGCCGAACCGTAAATTTATCTTTGAGCGGAAATCTTAATGAAACCTTGTACGTATTAATAAAATAATCAATAAATTAAATTCTATTAATTTGTTTACACATTCAGCTTTACTGTTCTTACTTTAAATTCATTTCAATCAATTTGATAGACGTTTAATTTACATTCATATTTCAATGACTTTATTTACAATTAATACAAATAATTATACAAAATATAAATAAATTAATTGAAAGCCTTTATATAAAATCAGTTTTCAATTATACAACAAATTTGAAAGAAAGAAATTTTAAATTTTTGTTTTGTAATTTTAAATTTCTAATACAGTTCATAGAAATATAACTTATTTTTTAAAAACGTGTTTGTTCTTTAAATTTACATTTGTATTCATGTGATTCGTAGTACAATCATGCTAATACCGATATTCCCTCGTTACTAAAATATTGTATTCATTCATGAAAGCTTCTTAGAGACTTTCGAAAAGGGCGTTTTGAATGAACCCGGTTTACAACCCTACGCGGAAATCGAGGGAAAAAACCCCAACCCTCTTTGACCTTCGTTCCAAAACCTGATTTATGTACCAACTTTTAGGATTGGAAAAAAAAAAACATATGTTTTCGTTTCTATTTGGTAACAATTCACATCAATGAAAAATTGATATTATTATTAAGTTTAGTGTTTGAAAATATACTAAATTATAGATTAACGTCAAGAGTATCTTAAGTATTCAATAAATTATAATTATTGAAAAATCTTTAATTTTGAGCTTCTTAAGACTATAAAACGTTTGTTTTCTTGAAAAAATATTGATTTTGAATTATTTATTTTTAAAGTTTTAAATTACTGAAAAATACTATTTAACTGTTGTATTATAATACAATACTGATTGAAATATCATATAAAATACTTGCAGATTATGAAATTTACTAATTATATAAGAGATTTTACCCGTAACAACTACCTAAACATAAATGAAACAAAAGTACCACCTGTGGGTCAAAAAGACCCGTTTAGAAAAAATAGAACAAATAATGAATTCTTATTTTCATTCACAATACTAGTACATACTGCATATCAGAATTACTGATTTTCCCAGTTTTGGTACATGAGAAGTTATTCTACTTTGAAATCCAAATATCGATACTATTTTATGAACGTATTTACTATAGATGGGTCATTTTGACCCGAAATACATAAATTTCGACGCGACTACTTTGCTCCTACTGAAAAGTGCACTAAAAATATTATAATAGTTAGTATAGTAAAGTATAGTTAGTATAGTAAAGTTCAATAATTTGTTGACTATTGCAATAGAATGCGAATGAAAACAATTATCAAGTGATAATTCTGACCCAACCGTAGTACTTGCGGAAAAAAAAATTGAATTTCACATCAAATCATATTGAAATTTGCTTTCAAAGTTCTTAATTTTACACTTAAATTATTGAATAATACTATTTAACTATGAAAATCCAATATGGATTAAAATATGATCTGTAATTCTTGTAGCATGAATTTTATTAGTACAAGTGATTTTCTATTTTGATTTTGATATAAATTGTAAAAATACATTCGTTTTTACCAAAAATAATGTTTAGCAACGTTTTGTAAAATAATTTAAATACCAAAAAGGTCTAGTAATTCAATTTACATGTAATTGTAATTAAATATGTTGTGTTAACAAAACTGTAAATAATAAATTCTTATTTTCATTCACTGTACTAGTGTGTTGCATAATACATATTAGAATATTCCCAGTTTGGGTCACTTTGACCCGAAATACTTTCTACACCAAAATAAGTACATTTCGATGCGAGTGCTTTGCTTCTATTGAAAAGTTCTAGAATAGCTAGAAGGTCAATAATTTGTTGACTATTGCAATAGAATGCGAATGAAAACACATATCAAGTGGGTCATTTCGACCCAACCGTAGTAAAAAATTGAATTTCACATAGAATCATGTTGAAATTTGCTTTCAAAGTTCTAAATTTTACATTTAAATTATTGAAGAATACTATTTAACTATGAAAACCCAATATGGATTAAAATATGATCTGAAATTCTTGTAGCATGAATTTTATTAGTACAAGTGATTTTCTATTTTGATTTTGATATAAATTGTAAAAATACATTCGTTTTTACAAAAAAAAAAATGTTTAGCAACGTTTTGTAAAATAATTTAAATACCAAAAAGTTCTAGTAATTCAATTTGTGTGTAATTGTAATTAAATATGTTGTGTTAACAAATCTGTAATTAACAAATTCTTATTTTCATTCACTGTACTAGTGTGTTGCATAATACATATTAGAATATTCCCAGTTTGGGTCACTTTGACCCGAAATATTTTCTACACCAAAATAAGTACATTTTGACTCGACTGCTTTGCTTCTAATAAAAAGTGCTAGAATAGCTAGAATAGTTTATTAACTATTGCAATAGAATGCGAATGAAAACACATATCAAGTGGATCATTTTGACCCAACCGTAGTAAAAAATTAAATTTCACATCGAATCATGTTGAAATTTGCTTTCAAAGTTCTAAATTTTACATTTAAATTATTGAAGAATACTATTGAACTATGAAAACCCAATATGGATTAAAATATGATCTGAAATTCTTGTAGCATGAATTTTATTAGTACAAGTGATTTTCTATTTTGATTTTGATATAAATTGTAGAAATACATTTGTTTTTCCGAGTTTTGTAAGATAATTTAAATACAAAAAAGGTCTAGTAATTCAATTTGTGTGTAATTGTAATTAAATATGTTGTGTTAACAAAATTGTAAAGTGTGTTCGAAAAAAACAATAAAAGAATGTCTGAAATGTGCAGAATATAATACTTTGAGATTGGGTCTCGCGATTTCCGTGCGACGGAAAATAATAGCGGAATGGTCTTCTAAGCATTCGAAAGATTTATACAAATAGTCAAAGTGCGAAATTTATGGATGGAAAGTGTTAACAAAAAAAAACCCGCAACAAAATAATAGAAGAGAATCCTTCGTGGGAAATAATATACGTGTCGCAGAGGATATGCGGTGTATTAATTTTCGCCTCGAGCACCGCGAGATTTTTGTCTATGGAAGAAGGATGGCTCTGCTTCTCCTCCAACTGTAAATCCTTCCCGTAACCCGAGAACGTTCTTCTAATGTGAAGAAACGAATTCGCATTTACAACAATAAGACAGAAACACATATAAAAATTGTAATATTTTGCAAGTTTTTTTTTTTGCATAATACTTGAATCCACCTTGACAAGTCCATAAAGTCTACCAGGGCTGAAGAAATGTATTTATTGTCATCCTCGTGTCGTTCTCGTATACGTACATTATTTTGTTTTTTAGTTTCTAGGATGGAAATAAAAGCGAAACAATAATAATGGTAAGAGAAGGATAGAAACAGACGAGAAACAAGTTTCAATTAATGCGACACAACAATTACATTATGATGTCAAGTACTTTTTCTAGTTTTCCGTCGATTTTATAAGGTGTTTCACTTGGCTGAAGACTTTGTTATTGAGGGGAAAACAAAAGCTTAGTGCCTGCAATTACTTTTATCATCGCGATGACGTCGGATGCGAATCGAAGAAAACAAAACATCAACCGTGTATTTACGTGGAAAAGAAATACGATAATAGATTTCAATGTGATCGTGCATTTTTCTGCGAATTAACAACAATTTACAATATTTTTAGTAAAAAAAAACAACACATATAATGGTCAAAAAATCAAAATTTGTTTTGTAAACAACACTGTCAATTAATTATAAATGAAATGGATATTTCTAAGTATTACTTTGTGTTATTTTTAGTAGAAATGTTTGAAATACAGTCTTCTCTCCATTTTTTGCCTAAATGCACAAAGAACGTAAGAAAATGAGTTTTCTGTTGCAATTTGGAAAAGATTTCCAATATCAATTTGGAGAAAGTTCAAAATTCAATCAACATTTTTCAATTAGTAAAAATTTCATTTATTTGTAATAAATTTTAGTAACAAAAGTTTTTCAAAATCTATTTCTAAATAAAAATAATAATACTTTATTTAGTAAAATTATGGTTTTAGATTTGTATATTATATATTTATGATGAAATTATATGTTTTTTTTTTGTAGTAAAAATCTGTTCTAATCTGTTATATTTTATTATAAATTGAATTATTTGAAATTATGTATAATAAAGCTTAGAAGCTTAGTAAATTTATCCACCATAAAGAAATAATAATTCCCTAAACTGTTGCATAAAGAAATGATCCAGTTTCGACGACGATAAATAACAACTTAAACATTGAAATTTCCATAAGATTTATGAAATTTATGTACATATTCTCAGTGATTTACATTACTAATTTAATGTTTCAATAACGTTTTCTTTCATTTTTTCTTCTAAATGCATGCACTTTTATGTGGAAAACTGCAAGAGAAAAAGGGAACGAAAGAGAGAGAAAGTTGGAATAGTAAAAGGGAAAATTGTAATAAAAAAAAAAACATGCTGGAAAATATGCATTTACGTGTTGCTATTCCGCACTTTGTATGTTCGAAGCAAAGAAAAATTGAATACACGATGAAAATGTAATTGATTTTATGCGCGAAATATCTTCTTACATGGTTGTTCTCGATTTTCTTTTTAAAAACGAAGCTTGAAAACGGTTTCCTTGTTCTACACAAAATTGAATTTTAATGAATGGAAATCATTTGTATCATTTATTCATATAATTTT